GGTCCTTGAGCCCGGATGGGGGCAGGGGGGTCTCCCTGGAGGCTACTTTTGGAGGAAGGAGTAAAAGCATCAGGATTGGTCCAGATCCTCTTGCCCCAAAAACTACATGACCGAGGAGAGTGATTGAGGGGAAATACAAACTCCCTGAATCCTCACCTGCCTGGGACTCCGGGTGAAGCTTAAGTCAGGAAACGGCATTCAGCCATGTCCCTTTGCCGTGCGCTGTGTAGCTCCAGCAGTTCCTCACCCAGGAGGGCAGAGCACACGCTGCGCAGGAGCAGGCCATGCAACCAGGAATGCTCCTGCACTGCCCCAGGCCACGGGGTACTGCTCAGGGTCCCTTGTCCTTGGGGAACTGGGGCCCAAATGGGTGCCAGCATGGCTTCCTAACAGGGGACATTTGAAATCCTGCTGTGTTAGGAGAATAGAGCCATCATCGTTTGGAGGCCTCCCGGTGCATGGTGGCAGGGCTACCTAAAACTTGTGGGGCCCCGAGGCACCCAGCGGGGGCGGCCCTGCCACAGCGAGCTGCTTGAGCTGTTCCTGGGGGGCACGCGGGGAAGGGGAGAGGACAAAAAGTGAGACTCATAGAATGTTTTGGTTGGAAAGGACCTTAAAGCCCATCCAGTGCCACCCCCTGCCATGGGCAGGGACACCTCCCACCAGCCCAGGTTGCCCAAAGCCTCATCCAGCCTGGCCTTGAACTCCTCCAGGGATGGGGCATCCACAGCTTCTCTGGGCAGCCTGGGCCACTGCCTCAGCCCCTGCACAGGAAAACATTTCTTCCTCACATCTCATCTCAGTCTCCCTTCTTTCAGCTTAAAGCCGTTTCCCCTCGTCCTGTCCCTTCACCCCCTGATCCAGAGCCCCCCCATCTCTCCTGTAGCCCCCTTTCAGCACTGGAAGGTGCTGGAAGGTTTCCCTGGAGCCTTCTCTTCTCCAGGCTTCCATTTCATAGACTAATTGCATTAAAAAATGTTTTAGTAATAAGTGAACGCACAGAAGTCAGGTCTGCTGATGCCTCTCTTCAGCCAGCGGAGTGCGGTGGAGCTCGGACCTGTGCAGGTTTTCCAGCACCTGTCTCCCCTGGCAGCCTTCAGATTCAGTTCCTCAGATGTGAAATCCCTCGACGTCTGTCCGGGCAGCGTGAGAACAGTGCGGTGGTGGCAGAAGTCCTGCTCATGCGTCAGCGAGTCGTTGGCAGCAGGAACTTGCGCCGCATCTCCTCTCCCAGCGGTTTCCTGAAAAGCAGCTCTTGTAAGCGAGAGGGATCCCACGTGCCTGGGGACCGCAGGAGAGGGACAAGGAGCCCTTTGCCGTACCCACGGCTCTCGCTCTCGCTGACAACCTTTACTGTTTAAATAAAAGCCTTTCAGTGTTTAGAAGCGGGGCTGGAAGAGATGTCATGGCATAGGCATTTCAGCTGAGTGTGCACAAGTGTCACTGCAGGTCTGCTGCGAGGGGACGGAGGGCGAGTGATGGCAGCAGGACTGTCCCATGTGCTCAGGAATTTTCCTTCAGCGTTATGGGGCCCAGCTCCCCCTGGGTTGCAGGAGTCGGGGGGAGGCTGCTGGGGGAGCATCAGCTCTGCAGTTCTTGCCTGTGGCCAGCTGGCAGTGGCCATGTGGCTCACACGACCCCCCGGCCTGCCCCCGTAGCGGGAGGGTGCTGCTCGGCGGGGCCAGCGCGTGCTTTTGCTGCAGCCTGCGCCCATGGGTGCTGCTCCGCTCCAGCTGGCCGGCAGCTGGGGGAGCCCCCAGAGCTGTGCGTGTGGTTTTACCCTTTCTTCCAGCCCCCCTGCATGGCTGAGCAGCGCTGGGGACCGCCACTGTCCCCCTTCAGCTGTCCTTGGCTTTGGAGGTCATTCATGCCGTACTGGGCTCCTCTGCCTGCAGCTGGGTAGGCGACAAATGGAGGCTGCGGCATGATGCTTCAGGGTGAGGCCAGGACTCCTGGAATTTAATAACAATTCTGCCGATGTGGATTGGTACCTTGCTTGGCCCAGAGAGCGAGCTCTGCCGAGCTCCCCAGGCCCGCGGGAAGGTGCTTGGCGTGTGGCTGTGACCACCACGGGGCAGTGGGAGCATCGTGCCACAGCAGCCCCCAGCTGCCTTTGACAAGAAGAGGACCTGGTGAGGACAGCGAGCCCCGTGTCAGTGGGCAGCAGGTACCACCGCGGAGCCCGAGGGCTCTCCCCAGAATCCTCCGGAGGCCTGGCTCCTGGGAGGCTCCCCGGGGGCCCCCAGCCCGTAACGCTCTCCTGCTGCCACCGAAGGAGGGCTGCAGCCAGCGGTGAGGGCTGCCTGCGCTCGCAGCAATGCCTTCTGCCAGCCTGGCGTCCACCGGCAACACTTGTGTGTGTTGTTTGGAAACCCAGAGAAAATAGTCAAAAGATCCAAGCGCAGATTTTTCCAGTCACCTAGGAGCACCCAGACTAGCAGGAAAAAACGCTGCATGCTGAATTCCTATCTCGGGATGCAGAGCTTCAGGCTGCTTCCCTGCCAAGCCTCGCCTAATTAAAGATGATTAAGGAAACACACGTATTTGGTGATGATGCCAGGGAATTTCTGATAGAAAGGAGGGTCTGGGTTTAGAAAACTGGCCCAGCTGGAAAAAGAGGCTTTTTTACCCAAGTGCAAAAGGATTTTGCTGTTGCCTTCATAAGGAGGCCTCAGCATGTTAATTCCTCTCTAGGCTCCAAGCATTATAGTGTCTGATTTCCTTTTCCTTCCTTAACATATCCCATTTTTTGCAGTTCTGCTGTTGCAACAGCCCCAGCAGCTCTGAGGAGGTTTCAGAGGGAACAAAATTGAAAGTCTCTGTAAACATTGCCCAGGCTAAATATTAACACTTCCAGGATGCCTCTGGAAATGAGTAACTGCTGTCCTCACTTTGGGAGACTCGTAGGATCACGTGTGTCCCTGCACAGCTCTTGGCCCCAGCACGTGCTGTCAGCGCCAAGGTGGATCTTTTAGCTCCTCTGTCTTTTTTGCCTTGCAGCAGAAGAAGTCATACCTGGAGCGGAGTGTGAAGGAAGCAGAAGATAACATCCGGGAAATGCTGATGGCCCGAAGGGCACAGTAGCTGTGCGGTTGCCCCTGGGCCTCCCGCAACACCCTCGGTGTGGTTTTGAGCAGCTTTGCTTGCAGCTGCTCACCGCCGCTCAGCTCCGTGAGTTCTGCTCTGTGGGAGCTTCAATAAAACTGTGGCAAAACCTGAGCTCGTTTCCTCTGCCTGCCCCCTCGGCCTCTCACAGCAGCTGCTCTTGCTGCGAGGATTTGATGGAGAAAGGTGGTGGGATTTGGGGTGAGGGCCCTTAAGGGAACCCTGCTACACTTTAAAGCAGCCGTAGCCCCCACTGGCACTGGGCACCGCTCGCCAGGCTGTTCTCCTGGAGCTGAGCTGGCGAAACTGCTGTGGGGTAAGAGCGGGGCGGGCAGGGCAGGGCTGGGCAGGGCTGGGCTGGCCATCACAGGCACCTCCAGGGCCATGACGGGTGGTCATTTATTCTCTCTCAGTGGCGACAGCCCTGGTTGTAGCAGGAGCCGGGCAGAGCCCCAGCGCAGCAGCAAGCTCGTGGAGGGCCAGTGCCACCCTGTGCTTCGTGCTCACAGTGCTCGGGCCTGGCCTCCGCCTTCCCCGGCCTGGCTTTGGGACTGTTCAGAAATGGCTCTTTCAGGGACATCTCCTCTGCAGCCAGCTTCTGCTGCTGACCCCCTGTGTTCTTGCCCCATAGACACACGGGCAGTGTCACACTCTGGGCTGGCCCTCTGTCACCCGCCTCCCCCTGGCTCTGTCACCTGCTCGCCCACTGCTCTGACTTCATCTTTGCCACTGATTGTTCAGCTGCAGTCGCTGCCCCACAGACACGGGGGCCTGTGGGCTGACCCCGGCGCACCCACACCCTGCATGCACGCGTGCACGCTCAGGAGGGAGCCTCCACCCAGGACAGCGTTTAGGAGGAGTTTAACGAGATGGGTCAGTGCGCTGTTCAGGCGCTGGACCAGTGCACTGTCATTTACACCCAGCTGGTCTGTTCCCCCCATACTGCGCTATTCTTCCTACTTCCTCTCAAAGTCACCTACACCTCTGCCCTAGGCTCCTCCATGAAACACCCCATCCTGTGCAATCCCTAATGGCTTTTCCCAGCACCCAGTAATGTCTCCCACCCCCAGGCATTAACCCTTTATTCCAAAAAGCGATTTGGAGAGCTGCTCGGGTGGCTCCTGGGGGTGGGCGTAGCCTGGCCACGGGGCTGAGGCTCTGGGGCAGCCCCACATGCGGTGTCTGTGCCTCGAGTGGCCCTGGGTTGGGTTCCTGCCGTTCTGCTCCTCTGGGCTTGTGGATGGGCCGTGAGGGGCTGACGGACCCTGTGATGGGCCTGGGTGTAGCCCAGATGGGTATTGGGAGAGTGGGAGGTGGGGGGGCTTCCCTCCCACTGGGCTTCTCCCAGCCCCTGGGTGGGTGTCCAGCTGGGCTTTAGCCCATGACCCACCCTGAGGCACCCGCTCCGCTGCT